TTTGTTTTAAACTCAATTTAAGTAAAAATATGACAATCCAAAACAAATAAACTGAATATACCTAAGACAAATTACCAAATTTGAGAGATTAGAGCAATTTGCTAAAGTAGAACCTAAGCATGATGCACCTATTGCATGAATTTAATTGATTCTTTTAAATATTGAAAAATAAATATATAATTAAGTAGTAATTTAGTAGGAAAAAAGGAAGAAAAAATATGAAAAAATAATAATAAGAAATAAATTAATAAATAATAATAGTAATATTGAAAATAACAAAATGAGTTAATGAAAATAAATCAAGAAAGATAGAAGAAAAATAAACACTAGTACAATAACAAAGAAAAGCAAATCAAATAAAAAGCTCATAAATAAACAAATTAAAGGAGCTACATTGTTTTAAATTAGATTTATAAGTAAAAATATCACAATTCAAAACAAATAAACTGAATATACCCCAAATAAAGTATCAAATTTGAGAGATTAGTGCAATTTGCTAAGCCAGTACCTAAGCCTGATGCACCTTAATCACCAATTTGAAGAAGGGCTAAGCGACTCGAGTGGGCGAGTCGGAGGGTCTTAGCAGTGATATCGGGGGTTCGAATCCTATACCGCCCCTTTTATTTCGAAAAATTCCATGTAAAAATGTGAATGTTACCAGCGGTCTCCTTGGTAGGAGGGAAGGGCCAAATCTGATAGGTGGTAAAGAGGAGGCCCCATTCTGAACAGAAGATCTGGAATACAAATGGGAAGCGAGCATAATGCGTAGTCAAATCATGGAAGATTAGTAGAAATGCCATTAGGGTGTAGGTGACCCTTCCCTTCTAATATATTACCCACAATTATATATAAATAAATTGGTATACGTATAATAATAATGTATAAGTAATTATATATAGGGCCCCTATCCCGAGTGCATGTCACCATGTGCGAGTATGTATGTATGTATGTATCACCAATTTGATTCGATCTTTTAAAATATTGAAGAATAAATTGATCATTAATTATTTATTTATTTAGAAGGAAAACATGAAGAAATAATATGAAATTTTAAAAATCAATTAATAAATGATAAAATAAAATGTTGAAAATAAAAAAAATGAGTTAAATTAAGAAAGATAGAAGAAAAATAAACATAACTCCAATAAAAAAGAAAAGCAAATCAAATTAAATAACAAGCTATAAAGAAATTAAAAGAGCTATATATTGTTTTGAATTCTATTTTATAAGTAGAAATAACACAATCCAAAACAAATAAACTGTTTTTACATAAGATAAAGTGTCAAATTTGAGAGATTGGTGCAATTTGCTAAGCCAGAACCTAAGTTTGATATACCTTAATCACCAATTTGATTATAACTTTTAAAATATTGAAGAATAAATTTATAATTAATTAGTTATGATTTTAGAAGTAAAAAATGAAGAAATAATATGAAATAATAAGAAATAAATTTATAAATAATAAAAGTAAATGTTGAAAATAAAAAATGAGTTAAATTAAGAATGATAAAAGAAAAATAAACAAAGTACAATAAAAAAGAAAAGCAAATCAAATCAAATAACAAGCTATAAAAAAATTAAATGAGCTATATTGTTTTAAATTCAATTTTATAAGTAAAAATATTGAAATCCATCCAAAACAAATAAACTGAATATACCGAAGATCAAGTGTCAAATTTGAGAGATTAATGCAATTTTCTAAGCCGGAAACTAAGCTTGATGT